CCCTTGGTGGAATGGGCTGGCTGAGAAATAAAAGCGAAGAAAAATAAAATGACGAAAAAAACCACAGGACACAGAAAGTAGTTACAAAAGTAGAGTCAGGACAGGCAAGCTGATCAGATGGATGGAGCTTCTATACTCTGGCAAAATGGAGCCCAGGCTTGCTTTATTTATATCAGGGGACATCAAAGGCAGAGATAAGGTTTCAAGGGCAGAGTCTTGCTTCCAGCTGTCTTGCAGTCAGCAGGTTGATTGACATCTTGGCAGGTCACACCAGTCCCAGGTGCTGGGTGGAATCTCTGGCAGAGCTTGAGGGGGAATTATACCTGCATCAGGTGATCAATACCTGTGGGGTGCCACAGGAGGTTCCCAATGTCAGACTTATTCCCTTATTAGGCCACTATGTGCAGCATAGTACACAGAGCCCAAGGATGGTTTGTGACAGGGCAGCAATCCCTATAATCTTGAGGACTCTGAGGCCAGGATGGTATGGTCCCCCTTTCTCTGAGGTGGGGGTGTAGTCACTGGAGGTCAGGGGAGTCACTAGAGTGCTTTGGCAGTTCTCCCTGTGAGAAGCTGTGATGGGGGTGCCTGCTGGGGCTGATGGGGATATGGAGCACTGAGGCAGTTTTCTCTCCTGCATAGTGGAGTGTAGCTATTTTTCCAATTTCCTAGGGAGTCCAACAGCAGGTTCCATTACCTGGGGGTGTTTTCCTGTGGGAAGGGAAGCCAGTTCTGGATTTGTTTGTACCAAACCATCTCCCCCACTGGCTCTGAATCCATTAAAGTCAATTTACTCCTACAATTCACAGGTTTCTCCAAGTCAGTCCTCTTCCTCCTCTCTCAACTCCTTCATCTCCTCCCTCCTCCTCTCCCTCCTCCTCTCTGACAATCATGCCTTGTTTGTCTGTGCTACTCTTGTAACCACCAGGGAAGGCCACATTGGCATACTCAAGCCAGCACTTTGCTTACTTTTTATTTCAGATGTTTAGGTAACTAAAGTTTTGTGTATTAAATTTTTTTTAAGAGTTTAAGTTTCAATGTATTCCCTTAACTACTCACCACTCAGAGAAGGGATCCTCTCCCTTTGTAGGACTGATGTTGAGGAGCTACCCAGCAATGCTTTCTCCCTCCACTCCACCATCTTTCTACTCCTATTTTTATTGGGTACCAGGGCACAGGATGCAGGGCCCATGGCTGTCTATAACTATGAGGTTTGCTGATGCAGACTCTTTGGAGAAGCCGCCTCCCTGAATGAGGAATATTGCTGGGAGATGGTTCCCATGACTAGGATAGAGAGAAAAACTCAATTTTATCTGCCACCACAGTCTCCCAGAGAACTTCTAAAGTTCTTGCTCTCAGAGACATCATTATCACTGGATTTTTTCTTATCTTCTCAGAAATACCCAATGCCTATTCAAACACCAGTAATACTACAATATACACATAATACTACATACAGCTAGTTGTCTACATTGAAGGTCCTTCACGCCACCTATCTAGGGGTATCAAATTTGTACCAGTAGCTGCAATTTATGTGAAAACATTCAAGACAGCAAGTTTTACAATATTTTATTTTCTTCATGTTTATAAGGATAAGAAATGGAATAGTACATTTTTTCTAATGCTATTCAACAACATGAATTAATATAACAAACACTACATATTGTGAGCATTTAAGAACAATTACTCTGGAGTACTGTAGTGCAGAAATACATGTTCTATTTCTCAATCAGTTTTTTGGCCCAGTGATTTTCAATCTTCACTGCTCATCGGAATCACTAGACTAGATTTAATATAAACTGATGTCTGGTTCCCACACAGAGAGTGTCATTTCCTTGATCTGGAATGTGGCCTGGGTAAAATATTTTTTTCAAAGTTTCACAGGTGATTTTAATGTATAACATTTTGAAATCATCTAACTTAAACCTTATTTGTATAGTTTGTCTTATAATTGTATATGTTGTATATTTGTGAGTGTGTGTGTGTGTGTGTGTGTGTATTTTCAAGGGATATTTGAAATGCAAAATAAGGCTATATAGTTTGTAAGTTTTACATGTAATGTCATTAATGAAAAGTTAGATAACTTGGAAACAATATCTGCATAGACTTACATCAGGCAATTAATCTCCCTCAACATTGTTTCTGCATGTCTCAAGTGGAAATTTTAGCTACAAACTCTAATTTGTAATCTTTTAAAGAAATATGTGCATATCTCTTTCAAACACAACGTATTATATTAATGTTTCCCTCTAAAAAAAAGTAAAAGAAACATTTCAAAAATCCTGAAAACCACCTATTAAGTTCATACTAAATAACAATGTGTAATCTTTTGCAGTCATGGAGGATTTCTTTGCTTGGGATTGCAGCTATATTATGACATCACATTGTCTATTCACTAGGATCTTTCTTACATTCTGAGATTCTAAATTTTGAAAACTATCTAAAATAACATAAGCAAGATGTGATAAGGAATAAACAAAAATAATACTTAAGCATATTTTCTGGGGGCTGGGATTGTGGCTCATCTAGCATGTACGAGGCCCTGGGTTCAATCCTCAGCACCACATAAAAATAAATAAATAAATAAATAAAGGTATTGTGTCCAACTACTTCTAAAAAAATAAATATTTTAAAAAAACACATTTTCTGTTCTTTTTTTTTTTGCTTTATTGGTTTGAAATGCCAAAATTCAAAATCAAATTGAATATTTTCCAAGTTTTTGAAACATCTTCTTTTTCTTTCTTTCTTTCTTTCTTTCTTTCTTTCTTTTTTTTTTTACTAAGATATACAGAATGTCACAGAATTTTGGTAGATTTTGTGCCAATGTTTAAATGTAAAGTTAGATAAAACACAGACCATATAATATATCAAAACACAGCATACCCTGCAGCATAGTTCTGAGGAATCATTAGAAAGCAGGCAAGAAAAAAGCAAAGAAGGTAAATCACAAGCAATACTTTGTTTATTTGTTTTGTTTTTATATAGTAGAAAATTTATTTGAAGTCTATCATAAGAATTTCTTTAGTATAATGTTAACTGGATCAGAAACTGCTTATGAATTTGTTTTTTACCATTTAACACTTTTGTAAAATTAGATAAATTAAACTTTCTGATACTGATTTAGCCTCTTTGTTTAAATAAATGTAATAAAACACTTTAATGATATTATGGGAAAGGAATATGATCATGTTTCTTAAAATACCTAACCAAGACCTGAGCTAAATCTTCACTATTTTATTTTCATAATCATGCCTAAAAAACTTTTATTTTGTTATTTTATTTGATTTTGAATTCTATAAGATGCATTTTGAAGCAGAGAATAATAACTACCACCAAATAACTTACCTTCTCGTATTGTTCATTTATTTTACTAATCTGAGCACTTTAAAAGTTCACCTCTAGTATGACTGAGAAGAAGTTGATCCAAGTAAAATAAAGTGAAATGTGTACTGAATTTTGCATTGAAATTTATAATTTTATTATTTTTATGCTACTGAATTCATAATGTCTTTATTCCTTATACCAATGTGATTTTTAGACCAAGTTCAATGTTATCAACATTTCAAAGAAATTCAGAACTTCTCCTAAATCACACTCTCCATTATTGCACACTTCCAAAGTGTGGTACATGTATACACCTGAAGGTTTAAGAAACACTGCTTTGGACTATTGTAGTTAGCTATTACTCTTTGGAAAATTAAGAAATCTCTGATTTAATCTTAAAATAATTTCATATTGCATGTGTTCTAATTTCATATGGCCATAAGTTCGATGTTTTATAAAGAAGATTAAATCTGGGCTGGGGATGTGGCTCAAGCGGTAGCGCGCTTGCCTGGCATGCGTGCGGCCCTGGTTCACACCACTTACAAACAAAGATGTTGTGTCCGCCGATAACTAAAAACTAAATATCAAAAATTCTCTCTCTCTCTCTCTCTCTCTCTCTTTCTTTTAAAGAAAAAAAAGACTAAATCAGTAGTAAAAGGATATTTTTTAAAGTATTGGTTGAACCATTTATTGCTAGTGAAAATTCATTAAATTCCTAAAGTTCAAAGATTTTCTACTTTGTGATATGTAGAGTAAAATATTAGTTAATACTTCTTATATATCATAGTATTTTTTAAAGTTTCGTGTGAAGTGGCACATTATTAATATTCAAGCTTTGTATACACATGTAAAACATTGTAACAGGTTGGGCACCTCAAATCTAAAAATCCAAAATATGAAATACTACAAAAGAAAATATTTTGAGTGCCAAACTGTTGGTATAAGTGGAAAATTTCACACCTGACCCCATGTGATGTGTCTCAGTGAAAACATAAGCATACTAGAAATGTGGTGTAAAATTAGATTTGGGCTAAGTGTATAATGTGCATATGTAGCATAAATTAATTGTGCAATTATACTTGGGTCATATTCCAAAGATATTTTATTATGTGTATGCAAATACTGTAAAATCTGAATAAAATAATTGTAATTTTCAATACTTCTCATCCTAAATATTGTTCAATCTGTATTAATATGTGAGTTTCTGAGTGGATAGTGGTCAGGATTTAATAGAAATAAGTATCCATAAGTAAAATATGAGCAAAAGCTCTTTGGGAAGAAAGATAAGATGGCATCCTCAGAGTTTGATTAATAATATATGTTTTTGTTAATTCATAGCAGAAATGGAGTATCCTAAAAAGGATAATTTGAGATAATTTTGACCTTTATTTTTTTGCCTGATTTGTGTTGACTTTGCTTGGCAGTTCTAATCCATTGTTGTGCAATCAGCCTGTGATGAAAACATGACCAATAACAACATAAAAACAGACAAAAGGCAAAAATATGAATTTTTCTCAGTTCTTACTTTCACTTTCCCCAGCAATGTTTCTCATTCTATAATGGAACTAAAGTCTTAGGAAATGTTATATGCCATGGATTCGGCATGGAAGTCAGGATATTTTGAGGGATGTCTTCATGGAAATCAATGATGCAAACTTTGGTTCTTTCCATTACAGATAAAAAGACTTGTGGACCTCATGAATTCCAGTGTAAAAACAACAACTGTATTCCAGATCACTGGCGGTGTGATAGCCAGAATGACTGCAGTGATAATTCTGATGAAGAAAACTGCAGTAAGTAACTTCTGCCTAATAACATTGCAAGTTTGACAGCTCATTCAATAAGCAAGATGGCAGTTTTTATTTCAGATAAGGTAAAATTTGAACCTAGCTGTCCTGCAGCTCACATTTTTATACATATATTCACATTTGGACAAAAATATTCAGACTAAATTGACCTGAATCTCAAAGGGTAGAATTATTGAAATGCTCATCCTGGGAGTTATTTTCTTCCAGTCCTCAGAATTGGTATGAAAGTATCATGAGGTTTAATGCAATCCATTAGTATGCAATGAAGGAAGCCCTTGGTGCAAGTTCATACAATGAGCTGAATGATGGGGAGACGGTACAAAACATCTCATTCTTTAACGGATGGTACTCATTTCATTTCAGTCTCAAATCCTTTTATAGTACAGATTCACCCAAGAGCATCTTTCAGTGAATTATCATTTATTCTCTCTGGAGTGGTGAACATCATATTTATTTAGGATGCTTATCTCTGAAAATGGAATAACACGATTATCATCTTCCTCCTGCATTTTTATGTAATAAATTTAAAAACAATAATTATTCAACATTTTCTTGAAAAAACATGGTACTATATAAAATTGTAACAATGTCTCTGTATTCTAGCATTAATATGTTAATGTTTCTGAGTGTATTTCTTATCAGCACTTTTATATTCTGCTGTGTAAAAAAAGCACTGCAGCCGCATTTAAAATAAGATAATAATTAAATTCCATGTATTGAATATTTATATTTTGATACTACCTAAAAAGATATGATGTATACTAATACTAGCAATGTCTGCTCTTGCAGATGTCTCATTGGACTAAGGCCACTCATTTCCTAGGAGGCAGAGGAGTAAATCTACATTGGAAAACATTATATATTAAGGCATGTAATTAGGAAAGTGAAAGTCTTAATAAACCACTTGAATATATAGCTTGCAAACTAAGAAATAGTGTCTTAAATAGCTTTCAAAGTTTAATCTTACCTATGTTTGAGAATCAAGTACATCAAGTGTGAAATATCTGCATCATTTCAATAACAGACTATTCTAAAAATGGGAATTTTTATCATTCCCTCTTCACACAGATACCTCCCAACCATAGTCTTTAGAGAAACAGACAATATTGCAGGGAGTCATTAGGATGCTTCAGATTCCTTTGGTCACCAATTAAAAAAAAATATATATATACATGTTTTCAGATCTGTTTAGTGATTTAGATGAAAATTCAATTGAGTAAGGGTGGTAGTATAGTAGGATAAAATGTATATAGGGCTTATATATTCAAATACCTATTTAGCTTAGGTCTACTATGTTTAGTGTTTATTATCATATAGATACTAGAAAACAAAAGCCCTTTGAAAGATATTGAGAACATCAGAGGGTGGGAAGGAGTGAATCATTAAAAACTTATGCCTGTAGAACTTTATTCAAGGAAATAGTTGAAATTGCATGAAAGATGTTGTATACTAAATAAAGAAAAAGAAGTTAGGATAGTCTGCCTTTGAGTGGCTGGGGTTTCTTAAGTGGCTGAGTGTCTTTGTGTTAATATCTAAAAGTGAGTTTTTGCACAGGAAAGCAAGGAGAAAGAACATTGACTCTCTCTTATCACTGTGGCAACAGGGATAAATCATTGAAACCACAGAGCCCTTTAAATAAGCAAGGGAAGTGGCTATAGTATCAAGTACTGCAATATGAAATACCCAATTATGTGGGTCTTAGTATCTAAGTTTTATGAACCTTTTGTCTAAGTCAAATAATATTGATGAAGTTGAAGAGGAAAGAAGATAGTGAACAGATAGAATTATGTTATAGAGTGACCTAGAAGAGTGGATGACAGAGCATATTAAGACAAGTATCAGAGCATATTATCATGTTTTAACATATTATGAGGAATACTCTTTAGATATAGATAATTGAGTTGCTTTTGAAGTTTTTATGTTTGAAGATGCTTTCCTGAGTTGACCACAACAAATGAGAAGGAAGATGTAAACATTGAAAATGTCAGCTATTCTACACAGGCAAAAGCTGTATGAAGAATGAATAATCACCTAGCGAAGAGTATTATAGAGGTCAGGCTAAAATACTGTTGTTATATTAAAATGCCATCAGCAGCTGGGCTCAGGTCTTCAGGAGCCTGACAGGAGGATGGCAAGCTCTATACCAGTCTTGGCAACTTAGTGCGACACTGTATCAAAATTTAAAAAGTAATAAAGAAGACGTGGGATGTAACTCAGTGGTAAGGCAACTGTGGATTCAATCATCTGTGTGTGCGTGTGTGTGTGTGTGTGTGTGTGTAGATAGTCAACATATTCCCAAATTATTTCTTATCTATTAAATCAACTATTAATGTATACACACACTCCAAACTGTCTAAATATAGATATATATTAATATATATTTTATAATGCAAAATTTCATGTATATATGAACCATGCTTTTTTATCATATTTTCTAAATATTATTGGCTAGTCTAATGCTCGTTGGGCTACATTTTTCAGTAATTGTTAGCTATTGCTTAGAAGCAGAGATAATAAATCAACCTTATATTTAAAAAGCAACAGAGACATTTTTAAAGTCACTTTTCTACTTCTATGTTTATGAATCTAACTTAATGGATTTTCTTTCCAAATTTTGTTAGAAACATTCCTGTCATAGTCATGGCAAGAGTTCAAATGGTAGTGGAGCAATTAATTACCAGCTATATTTTAAATGTAATATGCTTTCTACATTTTTATATTTACATGGGATAATTAGTCAATTGTCATTTCATCATCATCTGCTGATCATTTCCTTGGTTAAGTGTTCAGCAGGGACACTTTGCTTCTACAATAATTTCTGCTCTTAAAAACAAGAAAATTTCATTTTCAGTGGAGTTATTTTGTAATCTGTTTCAAATATTTAGAAATGCCTGAGAAATTTCACCATCTATTTTATTTTTATCAACAAAAATATAATATATGGCAGGTGTGCTTTCTAAGTAATTGATGTGCAAAATAAATTGGTTTATATCCACACTAAGAAGTCTTATGGATTTTAAAATATCAAGTAATTTGATCAACTAGATTAAGGTTTATATGGTGACAAGCTGCTTCTGCCTTATTTGAAATTCTAGTACTTTCACACTGAATTTATATCAGAGTATTATTTGTATAGAATGTCAGTTATACTGAATATATTCTAAAAATTGTTCTTAGTTGTTTATACCCTATTCATATTATTTTCAAATTTATCATTAGTGGTTTATGATAATCTAGGCAGTGGAAAATCTAGCTCCAAATATCTCACTGGTCTGTGGCTAACTCTATGACTTTAAAAGTCACTTTAGTTCCTCAACTTCAGTTTTTTTTTTTTCAGTTTTGTGCAAGATGGTTTCCATGTTTCTTTTCAATACTGAGTCTGTGTATCATTGCCTCCATCAATATTGAAAGAAGACAATAGGATGCCCCTATTTTTCAGTCTTATTATAGAAATGAGATTGGTCTTCCAAAACATAAAAGCATGCCCTTCAGAAGCTTCTTGGTTGTTAATCTGCTATCTAGATGAAGTTTATGGAGACCTTGGTTAATTGTGTTAATTGTTAAATGTGGGTTTCTCCTTCCACTCTTAGTCTTAGTCTAGGTTTCCAGGTGATAGCAGAAAAATTTAGTGTGGGAACACCATTTGAGAAATACCAGGGGAAAAGTCACATTGTAGTTTTTTGTTACTGTTGTTGTTGTGTTTTTTTTTTTTTTTTTGCTTGTTTGTTTTTGTTTTTCCAGTTGGGTTAATTTTCAGGTAGTTATCTTTTTGTTTTTGTTGGTGGTGGTGGTGGTGCAAGAAAAGTGTTCACTATTATGCCAAAACTGAAAAATGTGTGTGTGTGTGTTTTTTTTTAAATCTGGAAAAGATCAAAGGTAATATAAAGAATAAGAGAAAAGAATTATCCAGAACCTTCTAAGTTACATTTCCTCATGAAAGAGTTACACATTTAGCTATTTAGTGTTAAAAATATGTAAGGTATGTAGATGAGAGTTGGAAATTGATTAGCTACCTTATTCTTTGATGGCATTTGTGCATGTAAAAGTATAGTAATTCATGATTATTATTCATATGTAGATTTGTTGATCATTTATAAAGCCTGATAGAAGTATGCAGAAGTTCCATTTGCACTGAAATATCTTTTCCCAGAAAATTACATGCCCTGTTCATATCTGTCATATAATAGAATAATTGATAATGTTTGGACAAAGTCTCTATAGAACAAACTCTCTGTGGAAGTATTTGGCAAATGCCACTAAAAACTGGCTACATAACTTTTTTGTAATCTCACATCAACAACTTCCAACCCTCCATACAGTAACATATGTCAGAGCTTGTGAAATCATTGCCATTTAACACATGATGAACAGAGTTATCTTTCGCTATTCAAAATTAGAACACTGGAGAAAGAATCCCATTGAGATAACCCTCAAACCAAGGAAATCAAATGTTTCTTTAGATCTTTTTAAGCATTTCATCAGTACGATATGTTTTAAATATACTCACTCTTTGTTCCTTTAATGAAAATGTTTTGGGTTATTATTTTTCATTGTTAAATAAACTTCACGTTTCACTCTCATTGCTTTTTCCTAAAAATTAAATTGCACTTGTCTGAAGGGGAAATGACTTCAGTGTGGAATGATGATAAGAGCACAAGAGCTTTCTCATTATTATTAAGTAAAATAGGCATCTCTAGTATACATCTTAGATAAGTAACTCAGATTCTCATGGCTTTCTCTGTTACACATGAGCACATATTACTTCCTCAGTTGTACGGGAGACAACAGTATAATCTAGTAGTAAAAAGCACAGGCTGTGGTGTCCAGGTGTTTTGATTCAAGATCAATACTAGCTCTTCCTCATGCTGGGTGATTGCAGAACATTTCTTGTCTTCTTTGTGCCTCAATTTACTCATCTAAGAACAGCACAGCAATAGCACATACCTACAGAGTTGTTAGTGAGTCATTGGTTTATTAATTTAAGTACTTGGCAATAACCTCGCCTGGGGCCCAACAAGAAATAAGTAATTAGTAGTCATTGTACTAATACAATAGTATTAGTTATTTTAGTGTAATAGTATTAGTATTAGCTTGCAGTATTATACTAATTGTACAATTATTAGTATTGTGCTAATTAGTGGTATTAGTATGAATAAAGTTATTTTTAAGGTTAAAATGGGAGATACATGAGTACAATACAAAAACCAAAAAGGGAAATGTGTGTTGTCATGTTCACTAAACAAAGGAGTGTAGAGACATTTTAGATTCACCTATTTAGTAGCTTTTCTCCTTTATACCAAATGACATCTCATTTTATTCCTAGCCTGAAGATCACATTTTAAAACAAAGCCCCAGAGCAGAACAAATTGCTCTCTGAAACATATTACATCGCCCACAGTTCTTCAAAAGTTCTCAAGGGGCTTTTTCAATATAAAAATGTAGGAGCCTTCAATGGTACCAAACAATGACAGTGCTACCTTTTAGTTAGAAACTAAGTAAATTATATACAGCAATAGTCGAATGCAGACTGAGTTGTTCACAGTATTTATTCAGAAGATTAGTCTTCATTTGAGTGTTTCTGAAATCTAACGACTGCTTCTTATTCCTCCCTCACCTGGTTATTATTGTGTGTGACACAACTGTAAATACAATTAATAGAGAAAACTAGAAGGGGTTGTCTTTCATCATGCTGTGTATCAGTCTAACAAGAGATGATGTCCAATGGTCCTTTCAGTCATGCAGAAACAATTTCTGAAATCTTATCTCAGTGTCCAGAGGAAGAATATTCCACATAGGAATTAAGCCAAGCAGTACTTCATAATATTTAGCTTATGTTCTGTATGGAATATGGTAAAGCTTAAGTGAATGAATGACTAGCAAATCATCTATATTGACAGGTAAACGATACAGGGCAAAAGTAAACAAATGCATAAACATTTAGGCATTTTTCAAAGAAAACAGTTTCCTTTGGACCTCTTTACCATTACCATGTCCAATAATATTCTCATGTACCTTTCTTGTCTCATGACCTCTGGATTTTCTGGTGACAATTTTGAATAATTAAAAATCACCAGGATACAAAATAAATAGTGAAGAAACAAAAACTAGATTTTCTTCCCATTTAACAAATAGATTGATAGGTGCAACAAGTCAAAAAAATAGACTCTTACATACATTAAATGACTTCAATGTTAACTTGAAAAATATCATTGCTACAGTAGGACAACATGCAAACTTTTATCTTTTAAGCAGCTGGTTATTTGTCTTCTATTTGTTGTTGTTGCTGTCACTTTATTTCTGTAAAGCCACTTTCTATTTATGACTTTACAAATAAATTTGAAAAATAATTATATTATGTATTATAGATGCTTCATGAGAATTTTTCCTAAACAATTTATTGGTTCTGCTTGGCTAACCTCTTTTTCATTCTTTAATGCTTCCTCATGTTGAATGTCATATAAATTTTAGAATGCAGTTGCATGTAATAGAAAAACCCTATGCTATTTTTCTGTCCCCAGAGCCACAGACCTGTACATTGAAAGATTTTCTCTGTGCCAATGGGGACTGTGTTTCTTCAAGGTTCTGGTGTGATGGAGATTTTGACTGTGCAGATGGCTCTGATGAGGTAAGCATCCCTACAAACTCAAACAGAAAAGAAAGCAGTACTTTAGAACCACATTTAGAATTACAATTATTCAGTCTGATAAGTGGGACCTAGGACCACTCTGAAATGCGCTTTGCTTCTGACACACTGAGATAAGTATTAATCCATGTGCTGTGCTGCACACACCTGCACAGGGAATAATTCTTGTGTTGCTATTGACAGTTAATTTTATAGTCTGTTTTACCTCAACTGGTGAATGGCTGTGTTGGGAATAGGATGTTTGGAAACCCTATTCCCTGTAGCTGATGCCCTTGCCATCTGTGAAGTTGTTCATACACTTCCTGAAGTATTTATAGTCAAGACTAATATTTTATGCATTTTAAACACTTTCTTCTCCCAGGTCCCTTTTTTTTTTTTTTCCCGTAGATACAGTCTTACAGGCTTTGGTGTGGATCATCAATTTTACGAAACCACAAGTTGAGCTTTGCTGAGGTAGTGAATCACAATCCATTTATAATAAAGCCTATGTGTATACATAGCTTTAGGTAAAAGTTTAGAATTTCTCTGTATAATTCCACAAACTTTATTGTGTTAACATTTTTATGCTTATATTTCTGATAATGATTCCATAATATTTAAAAAAGTAATAAACAATACATGGCTACATTTTTTTTTCTCAATCAAATCCCCGAAACTCCAATTTCTCTCTTTCCATTGTCAAGGAGAAATCCAGTAAAAGTGAATTTTATGGATTTTCTCTGTTTACTTGGTTATCAGCAACACAGGGCTTGCACAGTCAAGTCCAAGGAGAAAATGAGGTTTTAAATCCTCAGTGGACCCTGTATCTCCTACAATACAATGACTCTCTAGAGCTCTGCCACTCTGGTTGGCAAACATACATACCTGCCCCTCATAAAGGTTGCCTCACTGAATGGAGACTAGGGAGGATCCCCCATGCAGCTCCAGAGGCTTCTGCATTTCAGGTCCAACTCCCCCAAAGGTCCACTGATTTTCTTTCTCTTTGGGGAATATTGCATCCCTAAAGTTTCTAAGACCCATGTAAACACTTTCTTTCTCAGTCCTTAGCCATTCTTACTAGGATTGGGGCAAATCTTTCTCTCACCATTATGGGAAAATTGCCCTAATCACATTAGAATTGTAGATTTTGGAAACAATATAAGTACATTCTTACACGAAGGCCAAAAAACCTAAACCTCAATGTTGCAAAGGGCTTGAGAAGGTGAAAAATACCACTTCTACTTGTAGACTATCCACAGCACAGAAATCAAAATAATTTTTTTTTAAAAACATTCACAGTGGAGCAAGACATTTTTATACTGACCACCTGACTCCCCACATACTTGCTTAGCAATTACTCGTTCAAAAATGATATCAACATTCCCAAGTCAGTAAAACATATTTAATGTAAACTAGTTCATGTCATAGACATTTGTTTTGTTTTAAATATGTTTCACAAGCTTGTGTAATCTGTGAAACATCAAGTGGTGAAGATATATTGCCTCTTAAGGCTTATGATTTCATCCTGTATGTTAATAGTGATGCAAGGCACACTAACAAAATGAAAATCTTATTTTAATTTGAACCTTTCTTAAAATTTTATTCAAGTCAAAGTAATCATCTTTACTAATGGCATTTCTCTCAAAGCATAAGTTAGTTGTTTGATGTAGTTTTTCTTTTTTTATAGCAAAATATATATCCATATTCTCAGGCATTTTTATGATAATGCTGCAAGAGAATCAAATTAACTCTTTAAAAATGAGTTTTGACTGTATTTACAATCATTTATTACAGTTCATGTGAAATGAAGTGGCTAACAGTATAGGCAGAAATTTCTCAAGTCTAGAGTACAAGTTGCTTTGACAAAAATCAGGCAATAAGCAAGCAAAAAAACAAAAACGAGGACTGAGAAAATGGAGAGAAAGCATGACTGAATGCAAGAGAAGCTTATACTGAGAACAAAAGTTGAGAGATTTTTGAAGATAAATTTTCGTATAAATGTGAACTCATAGTGTAATTACTTTGTTATTATATAGTCACAACAATAAAAAAATTAAACTTGGATCAGCTTAATTTCATATCAAGTTTATATCTCTCTGACATATGCTGAGAAGCTTTTTTATAAGTGACTTAAAATTATAATAGTTGGTCTCTGCACTAACATAATATACTGAAAGTACAAAAAGAAATGTCAAAGCATCTTATACTGCATCTGTACACTTTCTAGTAATAATATTTTGCTAATTTGCAAGTTATGTAGGGTCATTCAAGTGCTTAATTATATTAATGTCACTAGCACTCAGAATTTTAGAGTAAAATGGAATACAAATGTAGAAATAAATATTAAATAAAAATCCTGTAATATTTAATGTATGACTATCAGAATGGGAGTTTGATTATCTTTCTCTTTCTTAAAATATATAATTCCTGCTTCTGATACTGAACATTTGACAATGCAGCAGAAAGGATTATTCCTAGTACTTACAGAGTGACTTATAAAAAACATTTTCCAAATAAAGGAAATAAGGATCCTATGAGAAATGTCTAATTCTAGGTCTGAGAAAGGAAACTGAGCAGCTCATCTTAGGGTCTTAGGATGCAAGACTTGTGATGTTTAATATATGCAGGGATAAACTTAAAGTGACTACCACTGACAAAAGGGATAATTTTAGTATCAGAATGGCAAATGACTGTGACAGATTGAAGCACAATTGAATCTACAGTTTCAATGCAATCTTTACAAAAATACCACTGAAATTATCCACATAAATATAAACACAATCCTAAAATGTATATGGAAATATAAAGTCCCTAAATAGCCAAAGCTATCTTGAGCAATAAAAATGTTTGGGGGCACTACTCTATCTGACTTCAAAATATACTTCAAAGGTATGATAATCAAAACAGCATGATATGGGTGGTATAAAACAAACAACATAGAACAATGGAACAGAATAGAAAAACTAGAAGCAAACCCACATATTTTCAACCAACTGATTTTGACAAAGGTGCTCACAACCCACATTGCAGAATAGACAGGTTTTTCTACAAGTGGTCTGAGGCAAATTTGATATCCATGTGAAGAAGAATGGAACTAAACCCCAGTCTCTCACCAAAAGGATTAAAGACTTAAATTTAAATCTCAAAATCATTAAAGTGTAGAAAACATAATGAAAAGGCATCAAGAAACTGGAATGAGCAAATATGTTTTGGAACAAGACCCCAATATCACAGAAAATGAGCAAAATTAGACAAATGAGATTATTTCAAATTAAAATATTTCTGCAGAGCAAACAGAGATAATTAACAGAGTGAAGATACAACTTAGAAAATGAAAAAAAAAAGTTGCAAATTATACATCTGAAAAGCAAAAGCAGAAGCAAAAAACCTAAGGAACCTAATTTAAAAATCTACAATAGCCCTCAGTAGACATTTCTCAAAAGAAGTCCTATAAATAGGCAACCAGTGTTTAAAAAAATGCGTAGATCATTAATCATCAGGGAAATGCAAATTGAAAACATAATGAGCTATCACCTGACCTAGTAAAATAACTATTATTAAAATATTCAAAGACAAAGGTGCTAACAAAGATGTAGAGAAAAGGGATTCCTTGCACACATTTGGTGGGAATGTAAAGTAGTACACTTGTATTGAAAAACAGTATAAAAGTTCCTCAAAAAGTTAAGAATATATCTACTGTATGACCCAGTAATCCCACTAGTGGGTATATATCCATAGGAAATAAAATCTGTATGTTAAGAGACATCTTCACCCCTATGTTCATTACAACATTATTCACAAAAGCCAAGAAAGTAAAATAATTGAAGTATCCAACAACTTTAATGGATAGATAGAGAAAATATGGTACATAAACATAATGGAATACTATGCAGCCATAAAATATAATGAAATCTTGCATTTGTGACATTAAGCATGAATAGATCTGGGAATCATTAGGTCAAGTGAAATACATCAGTCACAGAAAAACAAGTGCTGCATGATCTCACAGATATATGGTATCTAAAAGAGTTAACCTCACAGAAGTTGAGGACAGAATGGTGGTTACCAGAAGCTGGAGAAAATAAAGATGAAGGGGGACAGGAAAGATTGTTAAAAGTTGCTGTTACATGGTGGAGTAAGTTTGGATGTGCTATTGCATAGTAGGATGACTGTAGATAATAATAATGAACTATACATTTCAAAAAACTAAAAGAAAGTGTTTTGAAAGTTTTCACTATGAAGAAATGATTAATACTTAAGACAGATATTACTCTATTTTGAACATTATATTACATGCATGCATATTGAAACACCACATGGTACTCCATGTATATATACAATTTTTGTGTTTCTGTGCATCACTTAAAAATAAAATAAATTTAAATTAAAAAGAAGTAAGAAATATTTTACTTAATATTCATTTATATATGTTTTCTAGATATGCTACTCCCTATATTCATTCAGTAGTTTTTATTGTGTGCTTATATGTCCTAGACATAAACTGAGTGGTGAAAAAAGTGTATGAAGTCTTTTCTCATGGGAAGTTCAAGGGTTACTTCTCCAGTGACTTTCATATCAGTCACATAAGCTGGCTTAGCCTTCAGACATTCCACATTTCAAATTACCTTTACCCATTAAAAACTACTTAGGTTGTTCCATCTCTGGAAGCTTCCTCTGTGAAGCCCTTTCTAAATGGTCTGTATTCATTTATCTTGGCAATTAATATACTTTTGCTACAATTGTGAATTAGTTGTTGGTCTTTCATACCATACTATGTGTTTATCAACTGCAGGGAGTAAATCTTGATTTTTTTTTTATTGTTATCTAAGAAAGTCTCTTACAAATGGCAAACCTTCATTATTTGGGGAAAAAAGGAAGAATAAAATTGATTATATACCAGGTGGTCTAATGAAACTGCCATCAGCAAAAAGTAAATAAACGAAATCTAGGAAGTCAACTCTTCTTCCTTATATGGGGGTGAAACTGAATAGAAATAGTCATAATTTAACACTGTTCACACTGTGGGTTTCCACAAGCTGTGAGCGTATTGCACATTTATAGAAGGGTCAGGCAAATATAGTTTGACAAAAATAGATATTGCTGTACAGGAAAAAAATACCATCAAGGAAGATACTTCATTGGATCACCCATTTGACCAATGTTTTAGAATTCAAGATGATGAATTTCTGGTGGATCTTTCATTTATCTCATATAAAGCATCAAAGGATCCCAAAGGTAATTCTGCTGTCTTGTTTGACTTCCGAATAAAGCCTGGGCGCAGGCCAGCAGAAATGACAATTGTGACAGCTCATTTCACAGTTCTTTAACAACAAGTGTCTGAAGTGAAGAGGAGATTTATGAACACTAGCTAAGTTGTAAAAGGACTAGTCTAGAAGAAATTAAATAATGAGAAGGGGAAAAGAATGCTAGAATCTTGCCAATGAAAAACAGATCAGATTTGCATTAGGATTATGATTTGTTTCACATTCTATCCACAACATCACCCATAGCCCCAGCAAGGTAGATATAGTTGCTTAGAAATAATTTTAACCCTACTATTTCTCCCAAAATCTTCAGCATTGCGTGCAACTACTAAAATTATATTACCTCTTATCTATCAATTAAAGAATGATACACTGACAGCAATTTACTTAATATGATGAAGTCTCAGAATTTATGTTCTTTTTTCTATTTCTGTTTCACTAGGGCTCATAAAGACAGATGAAAGTAGAAAATTATTATAATTCGGTTGTGTAGTTACAGGCTGGAAATATGACCATCTGAACTATGTGTATGTGTTAAATGTGGTTTCTAAATGCCTTACTTTCTACAAAGATCTTCTCTAGCTGTCTTTTGAGTTTGTAGATATTTTTAAATGTTTTTAATTTTAATTATATCTGTGTTGGATTTTACAGAGAAATTGTGAAACAAGTTGTTCCAAAGATCAGTTCCAGTGTTCCAATGGCCAATGTATATCAGCAAAGTGGAAATGTGATGGCCATGAAGACTGTAAATATGGGGAAGATGAGAAACACTGTGAGCCAGGTAAAAATGATTGAAGTGGTTTTTAAATTAGCTGACATTTTAACTTGATATGATTTAAATTCAAGAAATGATACACAGAAAACAGTAAGAGACACAGGCACTTATTTACTGATTTTAGGAAAAAATATGAAATATCTGTGGATAAATTAATTGGTGTGCCCTTCATATGTTACAAAAGTTTTTTTGGCAGATGATAATTATGCATGGGATCCAAGAATTATGCAGCCAAATTTGATTTTCTGGTTTCTATATCTTATCACACCATTTGGAATTGTTTTCCCAAATAGCAAAATGAAATATGTTGAAAATGTAAGTATGATAAAAGTCAAGTTTTCAGTTATGGAAATTGAGGTTATAAGACAGAATGCAGTTTTTCAATGTGCCAGGTAAGAAGCAGCATAGTGTATTGTTTGTATTTATATCTTGGGCCAAAATCAAATTATAGGGCTGGGATTGTGGCTCAGCGGTAGAGTGCTGGATGCCACACGGGTGGGACCCGGGTTCGATCCTCAGCACCACATAAAAATAAAGACATTGTGTTGTGTCCATCTACACCTAAAAAAATAAATATATAAAAAAAATATAATCAGGAAGCAAAATCAAGTATACAGAGAAACCATCTAGTTTATGCATTTCTATTCTTAAATTTGACTCTATACATATGCTCATGAAAGCATTTAATTTTTTTACTTGGTTATTTTAATTACATTATTATTAAAAATAATTACATTATTTTTTTAATAATGTATTATTATACTGGGGAACATCATACTACAGTGTGTTCATAACCATGAAAACATTACAAAGAAGCAGATAAACAAAACACAACAGATTTTCATTCTCCAATATTTACCTAGAGTCCATAGTGCTAATTGACCACATCTTTCTTTCTCATCAAATCTAGACATGTTCTTAGATTTTTTATTAATACAGATTCCCTAGGCAAATGCTGCCAATTAAAAAAATTAAAACTCAAGGGAAAAGATTTTTAGCATTCTTGAATAAAGCAATTCAGACCACAAAATTATTATGCAAGTACATTTGGCCATTAGTGATCTAACATAAGGTCAGGACCCTCGAGGCATGAATTCAAGCCTATAAAACCCAAATTGACAGACAAAGGCAGTTGTCATAATTATTATAACCATTAACTAGATGAGCTAGTAGTAATAACTTATTTATCTCTTTGTTTTTTTAAATCTGTGTCTCATAAAAGAATTCTGCAAATTCTAGAGGCTCTCTTAACTATATATGTATTTATGTTTAAACTCTCAAAAACAACAAACTTCTTAAAACTTTTTAAATATTATATTTATGTCATAAGAAGTCAAATAGTATCTCTGTACCTATGAGACCATGCCAAGATTTTCACATTTTGCATTACACAATTTATATCTGAATGAACTTTCCTAACAGCTATTTAATATTTTTGTAGTTTTGAAAATCATTTGAGACTTCCCTTTTCAAATAAATTAAAATTGTGCAAAACTAATTTAACTCTTCAAAATCAAAGGGATTGAAGAAATAAAGTTTTTTCCCACTTTTTTTAGTCTAATAGTGAAATCCTTACTACATAAGTTATTATATCATTGAATTTTAATATTATGAAATAATTTTATAAAGCATATTAAAATGAATCTTTAATACCAGTTATTGAATATAGTTTAAATAATGTCCACTGTTCTTATTGTCATTCATGTATTCATATTTTCATATGCCTACTTCCTCCCAAACCATTCATTACTTTAAATATATCTAAATCTCAACTTTATAATTGTATTCAGCTTCTCCTACGTGCTCATCAAGTGAATATATATGTGCCAGTGGAGGATGTATTTCAGCATCTTTGAAATGTAATGGAGACTATGATTGCACTGATGGTTCAGATGAGGTAAAAATCTATTGTTGCTTGATTAATATCTTTCAATTATCTTCAGTAAGAATGAGAAAACAAATGGAATGAAAGTAGAGACAGAACCTTGATTCTTAGCACTTTCTGAAATATTAAACAGATACACTGAATGCAATCATTTTTAGCATATCCTCAAATCTTTAGACTGTCTATATACTGAAGCCCATTGCCATTTGTAGAGGTTATGTTTATTAAGCTTAAATAAAATAAATCCCACTCTGTGATAAATCTCCAATATTATAAGCTGCTTGCTTATTGTGCCTATGATTGTATCATTATCATTAATGAAAACTGCAGTGCCCATTTGTATTTGAACAGATGGATTGTGTGACTGAATGTAAGGAAGATCAGTTTCGATGCAAAAATAAAGCCCACTGTATTCCAATTAGATGGCTGTGTGATGGAACTCATGACTGTGTGGATGGCAGTGATGAAGAGATCTGTGACAGAGGTAATGTGTTTTTGTTTGTGCTGTAAAATGAGAAAATGAAAATTAAGGTACCATGTAGGATATACAGCATGTGCAAGAGCCAGAGGATTGAACAATTAGATAATTTTATTCTTTCTACTTCCTTTACATAGAAGCTTGTTCTAAATAAGCAAAATCCAGATCATTTTCAGACAGAGTATCTCAGTCGTTCATAACAAAGTCAACCCAAATGCAATGTTTATTGGGTGTGCTTAATTACAGTTTATTAAGTATGTTTTCAGACTAGAAGCTGGGATAGCAATAAAGATATGTGAGAAAGAAAGAATGTAACTACTATAGGCATTATTGCAAAAGTATTTTCTGTATTCTTTGAATGGCTTGTCTTCCAGGTTGCTTACTTAAGTTTAAATGAACAAGAACACCTGGTACACTAAAATGCACATGTTCATGTGCTAAATGATGTGTAGGTCATAAGTTGTGCCTCAACTCTCCATCTCGACATGTTGTTGAGAAGATGATCTATGTTTCTATCAGTCTAGAAAATAATTTTCATTTTTTGTGTATGTTTTCCAGCTATAAGAAAACCATTTTATGACAGATAACAACTTTTTGGTTGTAAATTACCACATTAAAAGCTGTAATTTTTACTATTTTGAGTTAATAAGAATTAACAAAAGCAAAGAAATTGTGTGCTGAAGCTTGAAATGATCACAAATTATGTAATTTTTATTTTAACATTGTTGAGTATGCTATTTAAATTTAAATTTTTTTGTGACTTGCTTACAAAAGTTTCTCAAAAAACTTTTTATTTCAGAATAGTTGGAATGTGGTCAACAGTGATGATATTAAATACTGCCACATGATGCAAGGCATTTGAAAATGTACTCAGCACTTATATTCTTTAAATATATCTAAAATATTTACTTCTGTTTGTTTGATCATTCAAGGAAAAATATTTTCTACTTTCTTAATATTAGATTGGGTGTTTATGATGAGAAATATCTCTAACCCCCAATGATAAAGGGCACTTTTAAAAGAAATACAAGATACCTTCAAAATCTGAAGTGCATTATAGATGGCAATAAAATATTAAACACCACTATGACTGTTTCTTCCTTTGGTTAGCTTCTCACATGTACTTTTGCGGATGTGTGTGGGTGTGAGTGGGTGTGAGTGCATGCGTGCATAGTACTGGGGGTGGAACTCAGTTGCTTACACATGCTACGCAAATGTTCCACTACTGAGCTACATCTCCAGATTTCACACTTATATTTTTTACTTGATAATTTTAGGTACCACAAACATTTTGTATGGTCTGACAGCCACAACTCATTTGTACTCATGTTCAAAGACTTTGGGATGATAACTATGCCACTCCACATAATATCTTCTATCACTGCAGCTAGTCTAGTTCCTTCTCATAGTACTTGTCTATTTTTGTTAAACCACCTAATTAGTGTCCAATAAATAATATACAGTGCTGCCAAGTTCATCTTTTTTAAATGTAACCATTGTCAATCTTTACTCAAAATTCCCTGGCTACATAGGACCCACTCAACAGTAAGGGTTATAAGAGAATTAATTACTAGATTTCTATCTGCTATTTCTTTTTATTGATCATATCCTGAACAAACTGGAGAATTTGAAATAGTTTTCAAATTTAAAAGTGTTCTACTAATGTTTAATCTTTATAGTCTAAAAAAAATAAAGTCAAGAGCCTTTAATTCAATGATTTACAAAAATGTCAAACACCTCTCACTTATACTTCTAATTTTTCTTAGGATTCTTTGCTGCTACATAATTAAGTTCTAATAAATTACCTTGTTAGTTGAAGTATTTGGTCCTGTGTCGATATATCCTATGTCATGACAAAATTCATATTTTCCATATTTAATTTACACTTAGTAAGTGGCTTAGGCATTAGATAAAATATATTTCAAGGCTTTCAGAAAATGGAATGCCAGAATAAACATCTTTTTAATCAAATCTCACTTCTACTCATCTCGAATATGGATCCATGAGCCAACAAGAGCTTAGTAATGGGGCCTGGAAGTTAAGAATGATGTAGAATTGGTTTGGCACATTTTCTCCATTAGTCAGTTTTACTAGTTTTCTTTAAATGACTAACCCCAAATACTATGGAATTAAAAGCAGCATTTATGTTTTTGAAATGCAAAATACATGACCTCAGTGCTTGTTTTAGCATGAGCTTTCAAATTTTATTCTACTCTTTATGGGATTTTGGTAAGAAAGATGGAGTGGTATTCTTTTTAATAATCATGAGCTCAAAAATGTGCAAACTATTTATGTAAATTATAAAATATTATCATATATTAAAGCTTCTCTCAATCCAAATTAAGATGAGACTCTAGATGCTTATTTGCTATGATGATGCACTTGACCAGAATTCTACAAACCTGCAAGGGCTCAGTTAAAATTCAGACATCCATTGTTAATTAACATACACATTTCTATTTTTCTAATAACCTCCTGTTGAGCTGATCAAAAACATGACTAGAAAACTAGAATTTTAATACAGTCAATCTCCTTAAATTATACCATTTTTGTTTTTTTGTGTGTACTTCATGCCACTTCAAAATAAAGCATTTTAAGTGAGACTCAGGTTATCACAGTAACCCCATGATGCCTTTTTTGAAATGCAAATCCCATATAGTACAACATGAAGTCCTTAATAGGGTATCACAAAACTTTTGCCTGTTACAATTGTGATTTAATTTATATTTCTCTTCTTAATAAAAACAGTGGCATGTCCAATGCTCTTATGGAGAAAATTATAATGTTACCTAATATAATCCGTAGGGATCTCATTTTTTTCCTTTTAACAATAATGATGTGCTACAAATAGTATTTTCTTAAATAATTAGAGGATGTCAAGAGTTCATTCACAAACTGTTTGAATTTAATTCATTGTAAAATAGAATAGACATTTTGTCATTAGAATCTTTATTCAGAAAAAATATAATTCTCTCCTTCATAGTCTGTAGATTTTGATTTTGAATTAAGGCAACATCTCAAACTGATATTCATATGTTTAGTTTCTTTAATACTAAAGTTTGCACATGTTATCTTTTTTATTGTTGTTAGAGAAAAGAGTTGCCAGACAATAGTATTTTTTGTTGTTTGGGGTTGATTAATGATGTCACTTTTAGATTATAGCCTTATTCAGGTCAGTGTTGCATGTTTGAAAGAACAGAACACAGACTGATGTACGACTATCACAGGTCTCAGATATTGGTAGTCACCTTGGTGCATTCACTAAGGACTTGCTGCCATCTGTAGTTCTAAGAGATTCCAGCGTAAGCTGTCACAGTTCTGCTAAGCATTTTTTCCAAAAAAAAAAAATTGTTTGTAGCTTTTCAAATTAATATCTTATAACATCTTAGTATCAGCTTTAACTATCACACAAGTTTCTAAGCCAGGTACCCGTCTTTCCCTAAAAATGTCTCTACTATTAACTACATCTAGCTTTTTAAAAGTTGACACTCTCCTTCATACTTCCAATCTATGGCCAATTCATTATTTTGCTCTAACTCTCGAGTCCTTTGTGTTCTCTAGATTCTTGGGGAATTTTGTTTCTCTTGTGATTTGAAATTTATCTTGGCTGCTGAGTAATTTCAGAGGCATTTCAATGCATTCAAGCATCTGTTTTCCTTTTTACACAAACCAGGTTCAAGCAACTAAGGAGATTTTCTCCTCTCATTCATTTCCTATGAACAAGATATTTCCACATTTTCTATGACTTCTTTCTCTCTTTCAAAAACCAACTACAATAATTCCACCAAACACTCCACCACTTCACTAAATCTACTCAGCATTATTATTAAAATGCACGTTAATACACTTTTCCCATGTATTGTCTAATGCTACTCTTTTCAAATATTTCTCTAAGTACTCTCATTACTATTTCTTACTCTCTTTTGTGTGGAGAATTTATCTTTCCAAGAGACTTTCAGTCTTTTTGTGATGTTTTCTTCCATGTTCTTTCTACACTTCATATAATGATGACATTCTGTTCCTTCTGATATGCACATATATAGTGTGGAAATCTATTTTATAGTTCAGACACATTTATCCCTGAATATAACAAATGGTTCAAAGAGTTGCATGCAATCCAAAATATATTTGCTTGGTGCACACAAAACCCCCAATGGAGTAACATGCCTGACTACTCATTCTTCTTGCTACCCTCATCCACTAGCCATCAGGTCATGAGGAGCCAATCATTTTAAGAGCTTTCAAATGTAACTTCTATAAATCAAGTTACTGTCATTTCTTTTCTGCAACTCGCTCCCCAGCTTCAATTTTTTTTCTTTTTTTTTTCTTCTAGGCCTGATTTCTTTCTCCATCTTGATTTCCAAAATCCCAATAGCACAGCCAATATTTTCATTCTAAAATATTCATTTTATAAGTAGACTTTTTGCCATTGAAAGTGATTTAGATATTTGTGGGGCAAGTCAAAACTCAGAGCAAGAATAGTTATTTGACTTTATGATTGTTGGTTTGTTCTTTTCTTCAAAGTGCATTCACAAGATAAACAATGGATATTTCTGTATTTTCTAGGCTTATAAGATTGACCACTTTTTCCCCCCTCAAAACCCATGTTCTAATGAACATGTTATTTTAAAACATATTAATACTTTAAGTCAGTGGAACCGAATTATCCCAGATGTCCACATCTCATATTACATGTGAATTAAAGTAGTGCAATACTATGAGAACACTCTTATCTAGCTTAATTCTAAATTCCCAGATTTGTGTTCCTACTCCAGGTACTTCTTGAAAATATAATTCTATAGATTAATCATGCTTCTATTGTAACATATGTAGGCCCCAAGTCTCAGAAAAATTAATAAGCTTATTCAATGCAAGGAAAGAACCGACAGTCTGAATACCTAAACCACTGAAAACTCCACTTTCTCTTCCAACACACAAGTTTCTTATTTCTTTGGGTTTTTTTTTTTTTTGTATCTGCTGGATATACTTGACAGTTTTATGTTCTAATATTTTTTATGTTATAATATTCTAACATAATATAATGTTCTTTTATAATCTTGTATTTCTGATGCTTTTTATTTACATGTGGAAAAGGAAAAAATAAAACCTTTTTAAACTATAAAAATATACGTTGTTGTATAGTTTGTATAGAAAAAAACCCAAAATATTGCATGATAAGCCCAAATTCCTATTCTTTTTATAAAATTATTTCACTGTGACTTCAATTTTTTAAATTTTAATAAGTCAGTATGTATTTTATATACAAACAAATTACCCTCTAGCAGAGGAGTGTCTAGAGTAAAAGAATATTTAATAACAAAAGCTACTAAATTTAAAAACCTAAATTAGTTATGCTTAATAACATAAAATGTTATATAAACATAAAATGATAATATAGATTTAAATGACTTTCTGTCATCTTTCAGTATTCTCTAAATAAAATATGATATGTACAGTTGCAACATGAGAATATTTTCATTGTAAAAACAAAATAAACAAACAGAAAACCAAAACAACAACAACAACAACAACAACAAAAAAAACTTGGCACATAACTGATTCCTAGTATTATGCAGGAAACAAATATAAGGAAGCCAGAAAATAATTAGAGGGATGTGTTTCCTGACGTCTGGCACTTCTAATGCTCTCTGTCTCTTTCATTTTAACATAAAGGAGGAAATGTATGTAGAGCTGATGAATTCCTTTGCAACAATTCCCTTTGCAAACTGCATTTCTGGGTGTGCGATGGAGAAGATGACTGTGGAGACAACTCTGATGAAGACCCTGATATGTGTGGTATGGCATGTCACATGACTCTAGATGGCACTCCCCTCCCCTGATCTAAGGCACTGGTGTGAGTCAATGAAGTGAAGAGGTGAACCACAAACTCTGAATCCTTGGGGCTAGCTAGACAAAATATAGCCAGAGATACAGCTTTTATCCAGGTAGTAAAGATATGACCTGTTCAAAGTTCATGACTATAGACAGCCCTTCTAAATCTAAGCTTGCACATGTCAACACTATTCAAATATATATTGTGGTCTGTGTGGGAGGGTTTGGAGTAGTTTACCTTTTGAATTGAGTAAGGTACATATAGAGATTTTGGCTTCACACAGAATTGAAGTTTCAGGCTAAAAATATTTAATAGGAAAGTAAATGGAAAAAATGTGAATAATAAGATTATATATCACCACATTTACCCACCACTGAAATTGTCTAGAGAAGTTATAAATGGGTAAATAGAGATAGAAATAAAGATAGCTAGTTAGAGTATATATAATCACAAGTGTTATTCAGGGTAGAAATTATTTAAAATTTAATCCCCCAAATCTTAAAAAAATAATAATTTCTATAAATTCAAGTCACTCTCATCTGAAATTTATAAAGCATGTATTTAGGCAATGAACAAAGAAAAATCTACAATCGAGTATACCAAATGAAGGAATTCTTTTATTTTTATAAATTTCTTTTCAGTCTCTCATTCATCTTATCTACTCTCAACAAGAAAGTTAATTTCACCTTTAATTTGAAGGAAGATACAATCATTTTAGATATAATTAACTAGCATATCAATTGAATTAAAGAAGGTATTCAAGGGGTTTATACACTTGAATTAATTGTTCTATTGGGTGCTTCAAGTTAAAGCTAAGTATCTGGAGTGAATTAGTTGCTTTCTTTTTCTTTTTCTTTTTTTTCTTCATCCAGGGGCTCTTCATCACTGAGCCATATCCCCAGGGATTTTTGTTTTTCAATTTGTGAGAGTCTTGCTGAGTTGCATAGGGCTTCTCTAAAATGCTAAGGATGGCCTCGAACTTGCCATCCTCTTGCCTCAGCCTCCAGAGTCCCTGGACACCACTCCTGACAAGCAATACACTTTGGTAGATGATGACACATGACAACTGATGTTTATGTTGGAAAAAAGAAGACAAAACAAGGAGGTGGTTTTATTTTTACAAAGATTTAATAGGAAAAACACAAATGTTTTTGGAGAACATTTTCTAAATTCCATGAATGATATGACTAAGTTTTCTTATCTAATGTTAAAAATAGACTTTATAGAATCACAAGGGTTTATATTGTTTTTGAAGCATAATATACCAAAAATATGAGAACTTATCTACCAACATCAACCCAGAAGCTATTATATTTCTAACTACGTATGTAGGTATGTGTGTATACATATGTGTATGTGATTTTTCCATTCTTTATTCCAAAAGACAACAAAATCAATGGAATAGGAAGTGGTTGGTAATTAATTAAACTGTGGTCTTGAGAATCATGGACTTTGGGACTATTTACAGTGTCAGGAAGTGACTTTCAGAGGGAATACCACAAATTATAGCTAGACAACCTTATAAAATCTGATTTTTTGAATTTCTTTCACAAGCCTCTCAGTCCTCCATGTCAACATTTAGTAAAGCTACTATGTGCTACAGAATATTCTAAGTAATTGGGGTAAATAATAAAAAGCACATGATTCTCTGTTGACAAGGGAATCTTAATCTAGTTAGAAGAATAATAATAACTTTCATACATTAGATTTGAAGCAATGATAGAATTAACTAAAAAGATAGTTCAAAGACGGCAGAAGAAATAAGATGAACTCTGCCTAAAGGGGAATTCAGAAAGCTGTAGTTATGTGAGATATAGATTAAAACCACCTTAGGCAGAATGTTAGCAAGGGAAAGGTATCATTCATACGTTCAATAAATTTTTTAAGCTATTGATGATGATTAGTTTTGGTGATATAATGATGAGAGAAACAGAGATGGACTCTGATCTCATAGGGCTCAAAATCTAGTGGAAGATTGTCCCAAATAAGCGTAATTATAATACACGATACATACAATAACGAAAAACTAGGGTAATTGATAAAAGTATGGAACAAAGAATTTTGTTAAATTTAAGAAATAGAAAATAGTAACTGAGTTTCAGTCTGAATTATATAGTGCTGCCAAGTAGGTCAAAAGTCCTGAGGCAGAACAAACTACAGCCTAACAGAACTTTTTTTTTTTTTTTTTTTTTGGTGTCAAGGATTGAACTCAGGGTCACTTGACCACTGAGCCACATCCCCAGTCTTTTTTTTTTTTTGTATTTTATTTAGAGATGAGGTCTCATTCTTAATGAATGAATTCTTAATGGAGAAACCCAAAGTTCTTGGAGAGTACAAACCAAAATAGATAACTGATATAGAATGAAACTAAAGCAACAACAGAAATACCTAGTAGATATTATGTCAACCTTGGTAGACATTTTTAGATTTAGACTAAAAGCATTTGGAAATAGAGGTAGTCCTCTATGTCCATGGGTTCCATTTCTTCTAATTCAACCAATCACTTATCAATTTTTTTGTTTTACAAATTGAACTGAACAGTTTCTTGTCCTGATCTTTAAATGATACATTATATAACAATGAGTTACAGAGCAGTTCTATTATATTTACATATTGCAAGTCATTTAGAGGTGATTTTAAGTATACAACAGAATGTGGGTAAGATATGTGCAAATATTACACCATTGTCTAAAAGAATATCTGCAGATTTTGGATATCTGTAAGATTCCATGCCCAATCCCCCACAGAAACCAAGTCATGACTGTTGTAAAGCAGTCAACTCCTCTGGAGGCACATAGTTGTGTTTTACAAATATTGACAAGAAAGGGACAAGATCAAATAACACTTTGCAGTGCTCTAAGTAAGCTCTGTTAATAGTGTGGGTTAACATGAGGAAAGCATGTGATAACAAAATATAGACAGATTTGAAGGTAATGTAAAAGATTAAATAATTTAAATTACATATAATTGGATATAAGGTGTGTGAGAGATGACATGGTGGAGGGAAATTTGTAGGTTAGTTTTGCTTGCATATTTGAATGGAGAGGGAATTTAAAAAGAAAAACAGTTCTGCAAATAAAGATTAAGTGACTGGTTTGGGATACACTTGAGTAGATGTTCAGGTAGAGACTTCAAGCAGGCATTAGAGGTCTGGGTCTCAACCTTAAAGGAAAGAGTAGCTCTACAGATACACAGGTGTAATCTTAATAAATGAAAGTAATAAATACTATGGATTTGAAAAGATTATTCTGGGTGAGAGTGAATTATGAAACAAGGAGAGGACTGAGTGCTACTAAACAATTAATATGAGTTTCTGGAGAGTTACTGATTATGAGACAATTAGCAAAAATAGATAGATGTAGCACAGAGACATCGAAGTGCTAACATGTTTCGAAAAAAAATGAGACAGTTCCAGGGGAGATTGGATAAACACAGTTCCAGACCAGGTGAAAAACTTACTTTTAAATAAGAGCAAATCATTCTCCTATTTATGTTATGAAAAATAGTGAAATGAGTTGATAGATCATGTGTAAATAGAGGTCAATCTATAATTACTTAATAAGGTATTTAGGAATTTCCCACTTTTTAAATTTCTTGTGTATGTTTGTGTGTGCATGCACACATGTGCACAGTAGGAAGCATGATCACATACAGAAAATAAAAGCTTGGTATAGTGAAGTTTGGTGAGAACACAAATTTGAGTCTTGTTGTAAAAGGTAGAAAAGTCACACGGCTATAGAGAAATACAGGCTTCTCAGGTAGCACTAGTAAGTGAACATACTAGGTGTCATCAGGTGGCCTTGTAGTTTGATGATCTGCAACTTCCTTGGGCTTTCCAGATGCATATATTGGGAAAACTGACAGTTTTAATTTTAGATTTTGTTGGATAACTAAGGTAATTCTTTGTGTGAATGCTGAAGTTATCCTGGATGCTGAAATGAATTCAAAAGGAAAAGCAAAAAAAAAAAAAAAAAAAAAAGATAGAAGATGGTGTGAAAGACAGTCTTTAATAAATAGGGAGGAAGTGATATTCACAAGACTGATGAAAAGTTGAAATGAGAGGTTTGATCAAATGTTTGGGATTTGAAAAAGGAATCTTTGTTTTTAGTTTATTTTAAAAATAGAATGTCAGTAAAATTCTGGAAGCAGTGGTAGGAAATGAGCATGTCTTCAAATGTGACATGAGGTTTAAACAAATTATAAAACATTCCTAAAACAGCTAGAAGGGAGGAGTATGTTTGCAGAAAGACTAGATTTTACTTAAGGCAAGGTCAGGCAAGGACTGTGGCATGCACGAGGAGTTGATATAAAAGCACATTGTTCAAATATGAAAAGAAAACAAAGGGTAAATCTTTAGGAGTGGTTTGAAGGAGATGGTGATATATCCCATAGGCCATGCAAAGTATCTTAAATTATATACTGAAGGTGAAGAATAACTATAGATGACGTGATAACATCAATGTGTTTGATTGATTATTGTCATAACTTTATGAGGATCTGATGGGAAGAAATGAAACTGAAGACATGAAAGATATATCTCTATAAGAGATAACAAAGAGCTGAGCTATTGTGATTATAAGCACTGGGTATGAACACAAGATAAGTTTTGGAAAGATGTCATCAAAATTGGTCACTATTTAGAGTTGAAGGTCAGTGAAAGGGTTGTATTTAGAACAATCTCAGTTTTCTAACTATGATGTGCCACTCACTACACTATGGAAACAAGACAAGGCTCATATATGGGTAGAAAGAAAACAGGGGAAGATAATAAGAAATTGAGTGGTGAACTGGTGGGATTTGAAATTCCTCAGGGTATGTCCTATTATCAATTTTGAGATGACAGAACTAGACAGAGGATTGAAAGTCTTCAGGGTACAACAACATGCAGATCAATGAGCATGAATGAGAATATCTAAATAAAGAATATGAGAATAAGAACATTCAGACAATAAGGACAGTGCCCTGGAGAATTTCATATGTAGAGATGAAGAATAATTAAAGCTATTTCCTGCTTTAGGGATGGAAATCTTCAAAATCAATAGTGATAAGAGGGATTCAATTCCCTGTGTTCCATTTTCATTGCTCTCTAAGTTTCTGTCTTTCAGTGTCTCTGCCTCTCAGACACATTAAAAACTAATAAGATGACTTTGTGTGCTTTGAACATATATGTAAACATTTGTTCATCCAGATAGAGAGTAAGAAACCTAGGTATAACACAGTTGGGATATTTTTCTCCTCACTGAATGTCCTACTTTCAATTTGCATCCTGTAACATAAGCCTGGGGAATCTATGCTGTGTGAAATTGCTCTTTGAGACAGCTAAATATCCTGCCATTTTGTATAAATCATAGACACAAATTAATTTGGTACACCAAGTGAAGCCACCTAAGATAAGCATCTGGAAATGAAACCATGAAGTTTTTCTTGCTTTCTTTGAGGGCTCATTCAAAATCTTCAGCTGTGCCCTCTTCAGCTATTAATGTGAATAACTTGAGTGAGCTTCTATTATCACACATTTTTAGTATCTATTAATAGGCAACATTCAAAACAAGTCATTTAGAAAAGCTAGATTACGGATTTGAAAAAAAAAAGGGAAAACAAAGACAAAATATGTTCTTAATAAATCGGTGTACCCAAAGGAGCTATTTTGTTTTTCTCCTTTTTTTTCAGTTAAATTTCTTTGCCCACCTACAAGGCCGAACAGATGCAGAAATAATAGAATATGCCTGCAATCTGAGAAAATGTGCAATGGGATTGATGACTGCGGGGATAACTCTGATGAAGATCACTGTAGTGGTAAATCTGTTTAATGAGAAATAATTGATTTAGTAGCAACTGCAAGAAAAAAACAATGAATTGGGGGGAAGGGCTTGAAAAAAGAAAAAAGTTTCCATGTGGCATGTTTGAGAATATTGGGTTATTTTTGTTTTTTTGGCCCCAATTTTTTATTTAAGGAAGAGTACAACAAAGGCAAGGATAAGGATTCAGTGGGAGGAGTCTTTCCTGAGTGCTTGCTTAGGGCTTGCTTCTCAGTGTTGAGAATATTTTTTCAGGTACTTGATCTTCTGATAGGTTATAAAAACAATGTACTAAGAATCCATAATATTTGCATAGTAGAGCTCTGTGGGTTTATCCATATTCCTTTTAGGCATTTACTATAAAAATACTGGTCTCCTGGGAAAAATGATTTATTAGCTTAAAATTTTTTCCTTGTTAAAACAGTTGACTGAGGAGGAAGGACTACATAGATTGTATGTGCCCATAATCCCTTTTTCAAAATTTTGAAATTCAAACTGTTTTTAATGGCAAAACTGTATTTAATTCAGTATGCAGCAAAAGTATTTGGAGACAAAACCTAACCTGAACTCATTTGAGGCAATTTATATCACTTTTATAAAATCCCACTTAGAGTGAATATTCAAACATTTTCATGTAGAAATAGAATGTTATTTAGTAAGGGGAAAATAAATTCTCACTTTGTTAAAATCCCAAAAGTTCAGATTTATTTCATCACTGTTTAGCTCCAAGAGCTTTCCATAAAGGATTGTAGACTCACATATTTCATAGGCTTTCATAGCATTTTCATGGAAAAATGTTGAACATATTATGTGCTCAATAGATTGATTTTGATTCTCTAAAGCAATAATCACTTTTTAAATGATTCTGCAGGCAAGCTTATGTATAAAGTGAGACCATGCAAAAAGGATGAGTTCACATGCAGTAACAAAAAATGTATCCCCATGGACCTCCATTGTGACCGGCTTGATGACTGTGGGGATGGCTCAGATGAGCAGGACTGCAGAATAAGTGAGTCTGTTTTCTGTTAAAGTACATGGATACCCAAGGCCAATTCATGCTTAAACAGGACAAAATTTAAAAAGAAAAAAATTTAAATGGCTTTTCTGACAGCCTCAAGTTATCACCTTTGCAAAGCAATGCCACTTAGAACATCACTGAAGCTAATTTCAGAAAACATGAGGTGGTAAAGGTTGATTTTTGAAATGAACACACTTGTTAGAGCTGAAGCTAGAACTTTATCCAAATTTAGATTTTTATATCAATGAAGGAATGCAGATCATTTAGTGTTTCATTTTATAAAGTATAAATTTAGTGTCTTTGAAATTACAAACAGTAATATTTGGTTGAATGATGGCAAAGGTCTTAATCATTTATGCAGTGTTTTAAAAGAATTTAATCTGTTGCTCAGTTATTTTCAAAGAAGATGTCAGTATTTTCTATAGTTATAATCTATCATCTGTGAGTTATTAAGACCTATGTATAATAATTTCAGGGTGAGCTAATGCTTGATATTTGATCTTCCAAATTAAAAAATTGTTGTTTATGTCCAAAATCAGATTGCTTATAAAAGTGTTACAAAACATTTCCTACTTATTGATCTTTATTTTCTTCTCATTTATGCATCTAACTTTCTCCTCATTGGGTAGTGAAACAATGCCACCAAGATATGATGACATATGTCTCAACTGTAGTGTCATGCCATTAGTTTATTTTCATTAATTATAAATTAATAATTTATAATTATTAATATTATAAATTATAAGAATTTGTAATATTCTTATAAATTTTTAAAGAATTAGTGGGGATTAATAGTAGCTACAATTCCAAAAAATAAAGTTCTCATATTCTCAAAACTTTACTCTAAGCAATCCAGAGATGATGCAATACTATCTATATAATATACTCCATTTATTTACATTCTAAAATGTTTTATCTGAATGGAAAATAAAACAATGAAACTGGAACTGTTCTGCTAGAAATTATAACTAACTCTTACTCTGCCCTAATGATGTTGTACTCCATGACTATCAGCCCAGGCTAAAATTTTAACAAACTACTGTGTTTGTGAGCATTTCCTCACTGTGATCAAAGTACCTCACAAGAACAACTTTGAGGAGGAATGCTTATTTTGGCTCACAGTTTCGGAAGTTTGAGTCCAGCTTCATTTCTTTGAGTCTGAGAGGAAACAATGTAACAGTCAATGGGCCTGGCAGAGGAAAGCTTCTCAGGTCATGGTAGTCAGAAAGCAAAGTTTGGAGGGGGGAGTAACAAGGATAAGATAAACCCTTCTAGGGTACCCACCCAGTGACCACTTTCTCCAGCTAGTTTCCATCTTCCATTAGTCTGCAACTGTCAATGCATTAATCCATCAAATGGTTTAATTCACTGCAAATGGATTAATCCACTGATGAAGTCAGAGCCCTCATGATTCATTCATTCACTAAAAGCCCCAACTGTGAACCTTGATGCATTGGGGACCATGTTTTCAATGCATGAGATTTTTAGGGACATTTCAGATATAAACAATAACACTGCAGATTTAGCCTACTTGCTTTAATAACTTGGTAATACACTTGACTGAACTAGCAAATACTAAATTTAGGAGAGTAATAAATGTCTACATCTCTAGGTAGCTTCTAGGAATGGTTGTGATTTTAGGATAAGGGTGTAGTACTCACAATTGGTATCATTGTAGAGATGCCTGTCATTCAAGTCATTAATTCATTACTTCTTTGAAAAGGTTTTGTGGCTTGACAACAGCTGTAAATATCAGCTGTTGGCAGCTTGCACTAAACTATATTTATTGTAACTGAGCTCAGTTTTTATTTGCTTCTATGCCTTTCTAAGAAATGAGGGCTTAAATTCAGAGAAGACCATAATTTTCTGCATTTATAAAGAATTATCCGTGTAATAATAAATATAAGTTCAAGTCTAAAAAATATAAACTCCAGCTTCAGGAATCAGAGTTATATTAGTTTTGATCATATTTTTAAATCCTAGCTTCCTCTGTATATACCTGTGAAGATAATGTGACTCCATGTGGAGATGATGCATATTGTAATCAAATAAAAACATCTGTTTTCTGTCGCTGTAAGCCTGGATTTCAGAGAAACATGAAAAACAGACAGTGTGAAGGTAGAGTACATTTCCTCAACAGCTTGCTCTTAACTCTTTTGGTTATAAAAAGACTCCTAAGGCTGCTAAATTGTAAGATGACATGCGATTGATTTTCATCAAAATGGTGTGTATCTATGGGATAGCTTTTCACTTATGAGAGGAAAAGTCTCTGGGTTCAAGCACCTGTTTGTTTGTGTAGCTCAGCTATCATTGAGGCTACAAAGCCTTTTCTATAGCAAATGCAAACCTGTAGGATTTTCAAATGTTATGTTATTCTGTTTTGAAATGCAAATAATGAATTTGCTGATTCAGGAACTGTAGGAGAATTAGACTCACCTCATGAAAGAATGTGTTTCTGATGATTCTCCATTCCTATGAAGCATGGCATTTGCAAGTACTATGATAGGTGATGCACATTTAGAAAATCAGGAGGTTTTGTTTTAACACCATGTCTTAAATAGTGCTTCATATTATCATAATATGTCTTTAAAAATTCAGAGTACAACTACAACTAAAAATAATAAAAATAAATAAAAGTTCAAAGTAAGGATCTAAATGAATTTCTGTCAATTTACTAAGATCACTTAAACTTTGAGCATGGAGCATAGACAGAATCTCATAGTAAGTTATATGTAAATATAATATCTTTAGGACTTTAACTGTAGAATCATGAAATACAGATCCATATGTACTTTCTGCAAATTTCTTTGAAAAAACTACAGTTAGGGCCAAAATTAAATATCTGTCTGATGTTTTAGGGTATATTGAAGTCCTAAAAAATCTTTCACTTTCCAACTTGATTCTCTAATCTTTATGATATTCTTGGGTAAAAAAATTGATTTTATGTTCATGTCAATCAATATAAAATTACTGAAATTAATTAACTATACTCACCTAAAGGGGAAGAATTATAGCCACATTTTGCACATTTTTTTGATACTAGTATGAACCTAAGGGTGCTCTACCAATGAGCTACATCAGCAGTCCTTCAAAATTTTTACTTTGAACAGAGCCTTGCTAAGTTTTCAGGCTAGTCTCAAACTTTTAATCCTCCTGCATTAGCTTCTTGTGTCACTAGAATTACAGATATGTGCCAATGTGCCCAGTATATTTATGTACATTTGATTTATAGGCTAGTTTGGATTATTCATGACATTTTATTTCTCCATTATTATGGGTTCCTGAAAGCTGACAACCTAAGTTTTCTCTGTTTTAATGAAAAACAAATTATTTTGTCTTTCCCAGGTCCTTTCTATTAGTTGAATGTAAATATACATACTTACCTACCTACACATACACACACAGACACACACACACATGCACACAAATGCCAAGAATCTATTTCCATTTACATTAATTTCCTAAGATTTATTTGCAAATAGGAAGCTATTTTCCAGCAGAGCGTATATTAACTATATTTAGAATTTCTAGTTTCAGTGTCTTCTTTAATTTTAAGTACATTACATGACAATTATGACCTGTGAGGTACATTATTCATTTCAAATAACTATAAATTCAGCATTCTGTGTACTTTTGTTGTGCAAATAAATATCTTCTGAACTCTAAATTTGCATCTATAATAATAATAATTGACAGTAAAGAATGCAGTTTTGACTTGGTGCAGAAGAGGGAAAAAACTTATTTTTTAATCCAAAAGATTTAAACTTATTAGTGTCCTTCATTTATATATTTGAGAAAAAGAAAAGAAAGCATAAGAAATTGCTATTTGGTATGAAAAACAAACCTTTTAACTGAAGTAACTAAAGGGAAGAACATTCAAAGAGAATGGCAGAAGAGATGCAGAAAGTGATCCACAGCTTCTGAAAGCCAGTTGTAGGCGCTGTGCATGTGTAGGTTTCTACCTCTACTTTGCACCTCATGATCAAGGTCTCATTGTACAGATGGGACATTTATGGGGAAGTGTGAGGGAGTAGAGTTTTTATTAATTTATGCAGAGGTTTTCTTAGTTTGATTCGATACCAAAGGAAATCAGAGTAACAGATATCTCTTCATTCAACTTTATAGATACTAAAGAAATCAAAATATTTGTCTTAATTTTGATGGTTAAGTGCTGATAAGACACATTTTACTTCATCCCTGAATAATCTTCATAAGTAAATGCACTTTTCTTAATCTCTTCATTTTTTTCAAACACAGAAGTAAGTTATCATTAGAATGCTTAAGTTCTCCATGGGTAAATTATTATAGCAGAGACAGTAAGATCAAAAAATCTGAGTTTAAGTCTAGCATTTTCATCTGTGGACATCACTAGGAAAGTCCTTGACTTTACCACCAAGTCCTTGGAACACTGTTGCATGCTAAAAGAAATAGTTATTACTGTGCTGATCTTTAAGTTCTCTAAGGCAAGGCATTTTTCTAACAGATATAATTAGGGCAACTATATGTGATAGAGGGGCAGAGGAATTATGCTAGATGAAAACATTACTAAAAGAGCAAAACAGGGAAAACTGGCAATTCACCTGAATCATAGGACCTCAATTCTGGCTATGCTTAAACCATTAAAATTAGAGGCATTAGTGAAGCTAAATATTATTGTCTGTGACTTGTCTATTGCTGTGATTTAGATGTATTTATTCATACCTAGGCATTAAGGATTTTGTTGCTTAATTCACACAGCCTCATTTTACAGCCCTGTTCCTATGTATGAACACAGAAGTGTATTAGTGGTACATACAAATTTTCATTCTCTGCCAATCATTGTCCAAAATGTGGCAATAAAAATGAATACTTTGTACTTAATATCCTCAATGACTGAAAATCATGTAGGGATATGAATATATGAGAATGTTTCTGAAATATCATATGAGTCATGTTATAAGAAAGAGACACTGGGAAAACAAAAAAGGAGAAACTAAGGGATGGATCATCCCTTCCATGTATTGGCAGAGAAGAGGGAAGGCTGCATTTCAAGTGGGTCTTGAAACAGGAGCAGACATTCTGTACAAAAAATGGACAAGGATCTTGAAAGACAAAGGAATAAGCCAACAACATGTACAAGTATAAAGAGGGATGTGATTAGAAAGAGGCTTACAAGGAAATGTTGAGGTCTTAATTTGAGTGAACAAAAATAGTAAGGAAATTTGAAATACTTATTTTAATACTCTAAGTGGACTAACAAGTAATGTAAAAATAATGGTTTTTTTAAATATTGTAACTATTGTGAAAAATAATTTTGGATCTCAAAATATTGCAGAGCAAGTCATACATTTAAGACTTTAAAAACCAATGAAAATAGTAGTAATAAGAAGGTGAAGGAGAAAAATAATTTTGGTTTCTTTGGAAATATAGAAAGAATGAAATTTATGATGATGCTATTTGGAGTTTTTCTTTTCTAGACCTTAATGAATGTTTGGTGTTTGGCACATGTTCCCACCAATGTATAAATATAGAAGGATCATATAAATGTGTGTGTGACCAGAATTTCCAAGAAAGAAATAATACCTGCATAGCAAAAGGTAAGGTTGGAATCATTATTGTAAAATACTATTAAAAATGCTATGTTAAAATATAGGAAAAAGATGATTCATATTGAATTTTAGCAGTAACTTCATTCCTGAAATTATAAATAGATTTTTCTTGCTAAATATTTTCAGGATTTGATCAACATTTTTAAAATTAAATTTTAATAGTCATATTAATTATATATATTTATGAAGTATTATATGATAATTTGGTACTTGTATATAATATGGATGCATTTCCATCTTCTCAAGTATTTATCATTTCTTCCTATTAGGAACCTTAAAATTTCTCCCTTCTATTTTTTTATAATGAATTGTTATAATCAGTCATCACCCCATTAAACTGTAGAACATTTAAACTCATTCCTTCTTTGTATCTGCATTTTGTATGCTCTAAAAATATTCTAACTTTGGAAAGTTTATAGAAATGACTGTAAGATATATAGCTAGTGTCAAAATCACTTTGTGTTTGAAATAATTTGTAAGAACAGGGAAGTATTTATAAACCAGTTTAAGTCACAATATATAAAGTTTCTTTGTTTATGATTTACTTTCAGTGCATATGAGAAATTATTAACCAGTAGGATAAAATTAAAAGGATAAAAGTTATCATTACAAAAAAAATACAGTTTCAACTTTAGCAGTGTCAGAATAATACTTCTGTTCTAGGGATTTTAAAATTTTTAAGACAATATCTTATTTGAAATATTATACCTCTTGCACTTACCAGTGCCATTAAAAAAATAAATAACAGGTATAAGTGTTGAACTTTTATTTTTTCAAAGAGAGAGAGAGAGAGAGAGAGAGAGAGAGAGAGAGAGAGAGAGAGAATTTTAATATTTATTTTTTTAGTTTTTGGCAGACACAACATCTTTGTTTGTATGTGGTGCTGAGGATAGAACCCGGGACCGCATGCATGCCAGGCGAGCGCGCTACCGCTTGAGCCACATCCCCAGCCCCTGAACTTTTCATTTTCATACATTTTTATTAAATAATATTATAACTCCCATGTTGTTGGCTAAAGAGTATGAATGGACATTGTTAATGAGATTGTTATTATACAAAAAAAAAAGCATGTGATGCCATGGATTGGTGTAGGAGCTTGTATTATGTGTTCTTAGATTTGAATCTTAGCACTATGCTTTTCAGGTTGTGTGATATGAAGAAATTACTAAATATTTCAAACCCTAGTTCTTCGTCTAGAAAAGAGGAATACTAATATCTTTATTCATGGTTGTGAGAAATGCAAATAAATTGTGAATTGCTTACAATACTGTCTGACCTATAATAAAAATTCTCCAAGTGACAGCTATTAAGATTAAAGATCAGAACTTATACCTCAGTATGTATTATTATTAATATAGATTTATTTTCAGAAACTAAATATTAAATTCAATCCATGTTTAGAATTACATTAGTGTTTTAATTAATATTTTCAGGATTCATCCATAGGATTTTAATTTTTAGTATAAATGACATTAATACAATATTGTATATGACATTAATATTATGTTGTATGTTCAAAACACTGAGATGATGTGTTCAAGTTAATAGTATTCTAGATAATTTTGAGATCATAGAAATTTAATGTAATAAAGACTTAAGTCTGTATACAATAAAATAACAGAATTTCAGATATATGAATGTGAGGAAGTGTAATCTTTTTATCTTAATTTTCATGTTTGAGCTTTAGAGGAACAGTCAACATTCTAAGCCATTAGCTCAGAAATTTTGACAGTAATGACTAACAACTGAACATCTAAATGTTGAGAATCAAAATATTAGAATATAATATATTTTGACTTACCAAATAAAAATCTGTCTTTGTAAAAATGATGTCTTTTACAAGTTCCAAATTTGGAGCCCAAAGGTAAGTTTTGGTGTTAGAAAAACCATACCAATAACTATTATAAATGTTCAGAAAAGCAGGCATCAGAAATTATAAGTTGTGACTGCTAAAAAGTGATACAAAGTATGTTCATTTTCATTGCAGAAGAATCTGTGTTAAGCATAACAGTTCTTAATTTAAAAGTACAATTATTGCTTTTACTGTAGTTGAAATTTACTTTATTTTTGTATTTTATTATAATAATCTCCAGGCTCTGAAGATCAAGTTCTCTACATTGCTAATGACACTGATATCCTGGGTTTTATATATCCATTCAACTACAGTGGTGATCATCAACAAATTTCTCATATTGAACATAATTCAAGGATAACAGGGATGGATGTATATTATCAAAGAGATATGATTATTTGGAGTACTCAGTTTAATCCAGGCGGAATTTTCTACAAAAGAATCCCTGGCCGACAAAAAAGACAAACGAACAGTGGCTTGATTGTAAGTAAATAACATTGACTATTTGAAGGCCATATTTTCCATCCTTTAATTTTAAGATAAAATCAAAATATCTGACCATAGGAATTAATTGACATATTCATTTATTCCTCCTGACAGTCTCCCAACATAGGAAAAAAATGCTCTACTTATTTATTTTTATAAAAGCACATAATTTATTTACATTACCAGCATAATTTTATGTTTTTGGTTTAATTCATTTGCCTTAGCTATGTAAGAATGGTAATGAATGATACTGAGCATAGTGGACATTTTATTTCATTGAGTTTCACAACATATTAGGAATATAAGCCTTTTTTGGTCATGAGATGAGAATGTGAAAATCACTTCATATTTTTACATTACAAAATGATGCAAAGTAGTAGAAATTGTTACAACTTTAACAGTATCAGAAGACTACTTCTGTTCTAGGGCAAGAGGTCAACTTGGAAGTGTAACTATTTCTTCTGACTCCTGATAACTGTATTTCAGGGAACATCCAAAACAGAACACTATTGCTTGCTGGTGTATGATGGACATGTTGATTATGATGTTTATTCTTTTTGAGAAAAATAAACTAGAACATTTGTTTAGATTTGTGGTTGTAGACAATCCCTTTTTGTTTGAGGGCATGTCAAGTTATTATGTGTTTTATATTTTGAAGTAACCTGGGCAGAAAATGACAAATGAATACTTGTTTTTAAAGACCCTGGCCTATTCCCACACAACCCACAAGTCAAGCACTATCAGCAGGATGTAACTGAAACTTCGTATTTAAAAAGAATCAGAGTTACCTGTTTGGAAGTCCTCACTACTTTTTGCTGTGGTATCTACCATAAAGATTTGAATTATATCAATATGATGTAAATATGGAACATATTTTAATTTTAGTAACAATAGTTAGCAATAAGCTGGTTTTAAAAGAAGTGTCATTGGCTTTCGAATCCAGATTTAAATTAACTCAACTCCAAGTGTTTCTTCTGTGTCTAAAAAGCAATCTCCTTTCACTCTATCAGACCAAAAACTGATTCAGATTCATTAATTAGCATCAGCTTTATCTCTAAAACACAAGTCTACTTTGTAAATCATTGCTGTTATGACACTATTTTACTTGTTAATGATATAATAAAGAATATATACTGTGGAATTATACTTGTCTGGGTTTTAATTTTGTTCCTGTCCCTTAGTAGATGCTTAGTTTCTTTGTACTATTTCATGAAGGTCTAGTGAGGGTTAAATAAACAAATATATAATACACTATTATTAATTGCATATAATTATATACAAGTTAATTTTATATAATATATATCAATGTTTAACATTTCTTGGGACATATTATGTCCTGTATAAATGTTTTCTATTAACAGATGATGATTCTTTTGGTGATCCTGAGGAAGGGGAATAGCAAGATATTCTACTCTGCCAGAAACTATTACATTAACAATTATTTACAACTTATATTTGAACTTTAAAAACACTCACATGATTATTATTATCATCATTATTACTGGGGATGGTTTCAGGGGAATTTTACCATTGAGCTACTTTTCCACCCCTTTTTAAAAGTTATTTTATTTTTTACTTTGAAACCAAATAAGTTACTAGGACAGGCCTCAATCTTGCAATCCTGCTGCCTCAGCCTCCAGAGTTTTGGGAATTATAGGCATGTTCCACTACATCTGGCCACATCTTTTAGTTAATTTAGATGTAGTTTTTTTGTTTGTTTGTTTGTTTTTTTAGTGAAAGTGGTTTGATTATATTTAGTTTTCCTTAGAGATATTCAAATATAACCAATGTACTCCAGTGAACAAAATGTATTGTAGCTCAGAAGCCAACGTTTCACTCAACATTTAATAGTTATATACATTTAATATTCAATAACTGATTTTTATCCATATATATAGATATATTTATATATGTTTTCTTGTAATTATAGCCATTTACCTGTATATATTTTGTTTATTTATGTTTCTTATATTTAACTTCATTAATGTGTTATGCAAATTTTCACAACTCATTGCAAAGCTATTGATTATCCTTTAGCGAATAGCATATGAAACTTAATGTAGTTACTATTTATTGAAAGTGATAATTTGTGCTGTATCACCTGGACTTTGGTTTACTTCTGTTCTTCTAGACTTACCATGACAAATTGTATTCACGAGGAAGAAAAGTGGGTAACTGTGATAGTAGGAGTTTATTTTCTATTGCGTAGTCCATTATAGCCAGATACAAGTCATGAAGCCTCTGAGTCAGGAGTTTTAGCATTGTGCTCTAAGCTAAATTCCTTATATATTTCAGCCAGTATATTATTTAAAAATATACACATTAATACATGAATGAAGGCAGCTATTAACTTTGGTCTCTGAATCATTTTTGTAAATTCAGGTATCTCAATATTATAAAGATGGAATAAATCTATTTTTACCACCTTAATTTAATAAGCAATGTGAATTATAGAGCAATTAACTAAAGAAATGTCACCTTGCTGAGTCTCAGATTAATCTCTGAAAAAAAAACTACATTATTGAGGCCAACAATGTCTAAAGTTTTTTCCAATAAAAGTTTTCCAGATTAAAAAAAATACATGATTTGCAAAAGATCTGTAATATATTATATATGTTCACATATTACCTGGATAACTTGCATTTATTCCTGTGAAATTCATCTTGTATATAAAGTATTGATTTTCTACCCTTAAGACTCACTCTGCCGTTTAAAGCATTTGCTTTTTGAACAGTCACCAGCTAGTCATTCATTAATTTAATGAGTGTGGGATCTATTTTATATTCAAGTTTTAACACAGATATTAAACCATAATGACTGAAACTTCCTCAATCTTTTGAAGATGAAATTCAAGAATTTTCCCTAGACTGATTATGGCACATTGATTTTTATCTATGAATCAATAGGAAAAGGAGAGGAAAATGCACGAATCAAACTGTGGACACATTAGTTATAACATCAATCTCAGTGAGCCAGATGGAAGGAGTTAGCCATGTAATAGCAGGATGTCCTGAAAGCATCTCCACAGATACTGAAAGACTATGCTGTGTTACAATATTGCTCAAAAACTAAAATATTAACTGAAGTTCATTCCAAGGGAAGGTAATTTTCAATATAATCTTTCTTTTCTTTTTCTTTTTAATTATTAAGGGAATACTCTTCAGCAATCTGTAAAATTTTTAGAATACTAATTATGATTACAAATTTAAATTTCAAATGCAGAGTTAGTTATTTTATAGTTAGAAATGCTTATAATTTTCTAATCCCCTGGGCTATACAAAATGGATGAAATTTTTCCTTTAAGAAAATTAAATAATTTAAAACTTAAAAGACTGACATGATCCAATCTATATGTAAAGCATAATGAGATTTCTGAATTTAAATTTTAGCAGTCAGATATAATAAGAAAGCATTATGTAACAATTGTACATACTTTCTGGTAATTTATCATTTCCATTAAAAATGCTGTATGGAAAAATATATGACGGCAAGCACTATAAAGTAGGTCAATGTTTGGAAAAATGCAAATTACTATGAAAGAACAGATTAGATTTTTACCATTAAGGATTTAAATATTCCTAAGCAAAACAAATGCTCAGGTTGCTATGACCTATTTGATTTTGACTCATGAATACTATTTTGGCGTATTTTCTTTTATACAAAAGATAATGTTCAAGATGAACATGCATATAATTTTATTCATGAACAATCATTATATTTCCCACCCCCCAAACTGGTTAGGCTATTGTTTCCTAAAAAGTTTTTAGCAAATGTATAATTATGTATAGTTATTATATTTCATATTGTAATTAAGTCCCAGTACCTAACTTATGGGTCTATGTGCAACACACATCTACATACACACAAGCATACAAGTGGATAAGTACCCACAAATTGTGTGTGTATGTGTGCCTATGCAAGACTTCAAAGTCTTGTTTTAGAATATAATACCATATAAAACACTTTAGTTTAAAATTATTAATGCTGAATAAATCATTAATCAGACCTTATAGTATTTGAAGATGAACCAGGCAAGATTTATTCATTCATAATCGAAGGTTTATTTAAAACCTGCTAAAAGTTTATTTGAGTGCTGAGTTCTTGGTATACAAAAATTTCAAGTTTGAAAACTGTGTTCAAGGAAATAAATAATGGACTAAAAAAGAAAAATACTGATGTTGTCAGCATTGTAGAATATAATCAATAATAGTCCATTTGAAGAGAAGATTTGAGCTAAGAGCTAAGAGTTGAGGAGGAAGTAATACCATTTTATAAATACCTAAAACAATAATTCTACTTCCAAGGCAGAGAATGTTTCATGAGAAGAAATGAAGTCCACATAAAAAGCTATTGTGCTCCAAGTTAAAGGTGGTGATAGGTTGCACTACTGTCATTTCAAGCAGATGGAAAGTAGTAGCTGGAAATATAACTTTAGGAAAGCTTTGTTAATAGAGTGAATGCAGAAATGAAGACAGAAAATACTCAAGACTGATAAACTGAAATGCTGGGTTATACAACCTTAGGATTCTGATAATAGTAAACTGCAGGTTTGGTTTTAGTTATTCATTGAGATGTCTATAAGAGATCCATGAGAAATATCAAGTAGTCAGTGAGTGGTGTATTCAAGGCTGGATCTTAGATCTGTGGTCTAGAGATACCCATGAAAGAAAAGAACAATGGAGGAGATATCTCACATGGATCTCCACATAGTAATAATACCAATCTCTTCATCCAAATTTTAAACAGATCTTTTGTCTGTTACATCATTTTCTGTGACAATAAACCTAAAAGAAATGGTGCTAAAATGAGTCACCAACGTAGTTACTCTTTTATTGTTGATTGAAAAATGTATTGTTATTTTCTTACCATGTTGTTACTTTTGCTAACTCATTTTCTCCTCCTTGCTTAAAATTGAATACCTCCAAGATCAGCTGTGGTTCTGTTTCCTTTCTTCTTTGTTGAGTTCAGATAGTTTCATGGTTTACCATACATCCACA